ACAAAGACAATTAAATGTTGAAATAAGAGAAATAACATATTCAACAGGTATATTTCAAGTTAAACAAAGTACACCAGCTGATTTATTTGAATTACTTGAACAAAATAAACAACATTTAAATATTGAAACATATACAATATCACAAACAACACTTGAACAAATATTTTTATCATTTGGTAAACAAGTTAATGATGTTTTACAATGAATGATTTCATCAATAAATGTTGTTTTTAATGACAAAATATCTACAAATATTTCTTTGTGATTGTTTGAATATTTATTTTTATTTTTTCTGATTTTCTTAAAATAAAAAAGAAAAGAATCATAATCGATAATATAAACTCTTGAATTGATATATTTAATGAATGAAATTAATTTTAAAACTGAATGATTAAGTGATTTTATATACCAAAAAAGAAAGGATAACACTTATGATACTGTTGTGCATATTCTTGAAGTGAAAGGAATCAAACATGTAATGACTTTAAAAATCTGCATATACTGGGGGAAAAGGTAAAAGTCGCTGATACTTTAAATATAATTTACCTTAGTGGATGTGCCGAATGCATTATATCCGTGTACTGGATTAGTTGCCGGTACGGTACCTTGCTATCATCATGTTGCAAGATCTTGGTTGGATACTCTGCTGAGATTTGTCTCAGTGACATGGGTACTTACCAGATACGTGTTCAATTGATAAACTATTCTAATGTAGTCAAATGCTAAAAACTCATAAACTACCCGAAGGCTCTTGTGACATAATGGTTGCGGGGACTCTGAATTCAATGTATTGACTCTTATCTACTCAGCCTTAAAATTGAATACAAATCAGATCTGATATTAACTTGGATCAAACAGAAACGAAAAACTTAGCACTCGAGCTCGACCATATCCATATCTAGGTCTGTAAGGACTCAGCAATTCACTATTTGGCATACAAGATGATATTAACTATTTTTCTTTTTTCTCTTATTTCAACATTCGATGTACACTCCTACTTTGAGTGTGGATTGAAGTGATGAGCGATATTTTATCTACTGTTTTTCTTTACCACATAAAATACGTTGAGTTATGTGTTGATTGCTTCAAAGCAGATGACTTTCAACACCATCTTTCTTCTGTTCAATTAACAACGAAGGATAATTATTTATATGTATATATCTACATATACATCACTTATTCTGATGCTTATCATTGATGTAAGTTTTTGGAATGTAAAATGGAGCAATTATTTTAGCAATTACGAAGAATTCTTGCTATACATATACAATAATGAGCACATAATTTTGGTTTGGTTTATTGACAAAGTCTTCCTGTGATGTAAAAAAAAAACAAAAAAAAACGATTGAAAAGTCGATGTTTTCTTTTTTTTGTAATTTTTGCTATGTCTCTATAGAGGTTGTGTTTTTATTTTTACATGATTGTGAACGATTGTGACGAGATTTTTTATGATTTTCATGTTGTTTATAAAGTGATGTATCATTGTCTATCATCATACATTGATTCGAAAGTTCAGTTAAAGAAGTTATAGAATCTATTTGAGAATGTATAATCGATTAATTACATTAACTTATAAATAGATAATTACTTTCATGTGCAATAATACGTTTGAAAAATATTTCTGGTACCGAATTTTCATCATCTTTATTATTGATTTCGATTAATTCATCTTGAAGATCAAGATTAATCATTACTATTGGATCATTATCTGGAAAAACAATTTTTGAATGATTATTATTAAGTTGGATTTCACTCGCATGTGTGGATGTGTATCCTAATGAACTATCACATGTGAATATAGTCTTTTTTTGTTGAAGAGATAATATTGAATTATTATCTATAATTAAATGATCAAAATTAATTTCATTTTTTGAATGAGATTGTGAATTTGTTTTTAAATCAAGTGTAGTAGTTGCTGTTGTTTCATATTCCAAAGGAAGAGAAGATTCATCTAAAAGAGAAAAAAAAAAGTAAATCTGACATATATGAATATGTTTACAAAATATATATATATATATTTAAATCATCTTGTGAGGAAAAAATACATTCAAAGAATTTACCTGTAAAAATATGATTTTGTTGCATAGATGGTGTTAAAGCTGAATTCGAATAATTAAGATGATATTTTTGTGGATTAATTAGTTGATTTGCATTAGAATTATCATCGACAGCTGATAAGACTTGAATACTTCCATCTGGACATAAATGAATCAATCGTTTCGGTTTAAATGGTGGATGTAGCAATAAGTGTTTACATAAATTATTTCCATTATCTACACAAAAAAATAAATACGTGAAAATCCAATATTACATCAAATGATATTTTTGTTTTCATGAAGACCTTTATTTGTATTCAAATTATGAATTACAGTATTTTTATTTGAATCTTGTTCTTTAAGAATATGTGGTGCATTTAATGCGAGTATATGAATAATTTCAGTAATTTGATTAGAATCTGATAAATTGAGTTGATTACAAAGGTCTTGACATAATATAGTTTCATTGGATAATTTTTGTGTATTCGATTCATCCGACATTACTACTGATTTTGGTTTATTAAAGTTCGTTTGTTTATGTGTATCTCTATAGTAAATGTCAAAATTGGAAATTTTTTATGTAAAAACAACAAGAAAAAAAAATGAAAACTACAATATAGTGTTTTTCGAATCGTGATCCATACTCATGCGTAAAATCTATAAGAAATAATTAAGAAATCGCAATAAGGATAGAATTTAATCTCTATACTCGTTGATATTTTTCTTGAGCATTTTGAATTGAATCATCAACAAATATTTGTGCATCCAACTTCAATTGATTATCGTTATCATTTAATTGTTCGGATTCTTGTGATGGAGATGAATCATGATCAGGAAATGATAATATAGAAGGATTTTGTTCATTATTTTCATTATGTAAAATAGTACCAGTCGATAATGGTTCATCTTCAGGTGAATTTGCTAAATGTGATTGAACACTCGGAGATACTAAGTAAAATAAACAAAGAATGATTATTATTTTATTTTGAGCTTTTCAGTATGATGATGTCAATATGAATGAAAAAGTAGAAGATATATTTTTAGCAGGAAAATAGCGAGAGAGAACCAGCAGACATTTCAGTTTTGAAGTCTTATGAAATCGTAAAAATTCTCTTGGAATAACATGAAGTCTACTGTTTTTTCATCGCCAGTGTCAGAAAGCATTGGGTACGTTTCCATAACAGTTGAGGACAACCAAGACCAGGATTCTTTCCCATAATGTCATAGCAACGGGAAAAGGCGCTGAGCGGCATTAATCACAAGGTTTATATTGTTCTAGAATACTCAAAAGCCTTTGAAGACATTTTAATGACTGCAATACGTCTGTGTATGTGTGTTGATAAAAAATTTATATGCTAGACATCAAGGATGATAGGTATTCATGAATGGATTTGCTACAAATGGTCATATGGTCCATATAAAAAGTGCAAACTGCTTAAATTATTACTTCGGTGAATAATCAACATTAATGTTTCTAAGCTTATCAAGATAAATAATAGTGTATTGAGATCTGTTGTACACATCATAGATGTGTACAACAGACTTATATGACAGTTAAATCAATGGTTAGAATAATAATAAACCTATGCTAAGAAAAATGGAATAAGACAAATAAAAAAATAAGGAACGAAAAGCTGCAGGACAAACAAAAACTAGAATGCCAATAGAAAAAAAGATTTCTGTTCGAAATACAGAAATAAATAAAACCTATCGTTTCCTTTCACAATCGATTATTGTTAGAGAACAACTATAGTCTACTATAGACTTTTTACTTAATGTATTTTTTATTGGTATAATGAGACTAAAGAACACATGTAACTTCCATATTTTCCTTCCCAAAAGAATTATGCTAGCAAGTTTTTATCTGAAATTATTTTCTGTTATGATAACAAGATATACTAATAGTACTCAGGAAACATGACAACATGATGTCAATCCTAATATCTAACGTATAAAGATATCGTTAAAGACAAAGAAAGCAAAATTGAAAAACTAAATTTATTTAAAAGACATGCTCGAATATTGAGTAGGTTGACTTTCACTTGTTTCTTCCATTTGTCGAGATTGTTTTGATTTTTGAGAAAATTCTCTTTCATTATTTATTTGTTTTTGTGGTATACATGGTGGAATATAATGTTCTGAACGATGACAAGGTCCATACGGAAAGAATAATGGTCGACAATGCTCACAATACACTGCACGATTCATACATCTTATTGGTTCATGTGAATAATGACAAAGTCTATCAGCTAATTGTTCACGTAAATTATTTTTTGTTATCATATTTTGACAATGTGATGAATCTACAGGTGCTACTATAATATGTGAATTAAGTACTCCTATAGTATCATTTAAATTTTTCTGTTCAGTTGAAGGTGTATGATTTGACTGTGCTCGATTTAAATTTTGATTTGATATGGAACGAACAGTTATACGTGTTTTATTTGACAATAAATTTATTTTTGATGAAATTTTTTCACTAGAAATTTATATAATAAAATAAAGAAAAAAATAAAATAAAATAAAATTTATTTTAATCTACCGTGAATTATTTTTCAATAGTTGATGTTGATATTTTTCTTGATTATTTGTTTCAATCATTGATAAATGATGACGTGGAAGTTTTCGATAGATTTTTTCAGAATAATTTTCTTTTGCAGAATTATTAAGAGACATAACATCTAGACTAGTATTAGTTTTCATAGTATCACCTTGACTATTATGTATTTCATCTTTAGCAAATAATAAAACTTGCCAAAGTGTTATAAAAAAAAGTTCATATATGAATTTAATACACCATATTGAATTTTTATAAATAGTAATACAAGTATCTGTTAAACAATCATTATTATTATCTAAACTAAATGATTGAAAAGAATAATTTCATTGTTTTTTTAATTAAAAAAATAAAAAAAAAATTTACTAATGAATTTTTTTCTTTTGAAATGATCGTTGTGAACTAATTAATTTATGATTTTTAGTTTGTTCATTATCAAATTCCATAATTCCTTCTTGATTATTAATTATTATTATTATTATTATTCTTGTTGAGTAATCATTATTATTGAAAATGAGAAAAAAAAGAAGAAGAAACGCAAGTTTTTAAATAATCTATTCAAAAGTAAATTCGATAACCGTTTATGATGATTTGTATAGAAAATAGAGAAATTCTTTTTATACTCGCGCTTTTCTTCGAAACGAAATTAATTGATTTTTTTATATTTAAATCTAGTATAAAGATGGCGCTTGTTGCTTATTCGAAATCCTCTCTCTCTCTCTACAGATACATATCGATTCATTTAAAAGAATCAGAAAGATCAACGAATATACATTGACAGTAAGAAATATTCTACTTTTCATTTTAAAGATGTCTTATATTAATCAACAAAAACATCGTTCACATTTTCATAAAGTTAAACGTCTTAATAATACTAATCGTCGTGATGAAAAAATGATGATTGTAAGATTATTAAAAACATTTTTAAAATCAATCTATTCAAATCTTTCTTCCCTCTCTCTCTCTGCTTTAGCCTAATCTTGCTTTTAATATTATTGATAAAACATCAAAATATACGAAATTTTTCGATTATCCATTGCCAGAGTTACTCATTGATCATTCAACAGATCCATTACAAAATACAACACGACAATATAATCATACATCATCAAATATTTCTAATGAAGGTCGTTTTAAAAATCATGAAATGATTATACGTCGAAATGGTGAAACAACTATACTTCGACCTAAACAAGATTTAGTCCTTGTTAATGGATTTACACCAGTTATACGACCTTCTACTATATTACCATCATATCAATCTATAATGTCTCATACTCAAGTATCATCATCTTTATCAATTATGAATAAAATGTCAATAAAGAAACCTGAACAAACATCAATAATTAAAACCAAACGAAAGAATCGATATAGACGAAAACGTTTAAATAAAAAATTTATTGAACAAAATAATATGCAAAATTATAATGTAAATATAATCTTGAATAAATTTGATTATTTTATAAGAAAAACAAATATATATATTTTTTTTTAATTTAGTTGGTAAATGAATTTGATCAAAATAATTCACAAGAATCAACTTTTATTCATTTAGTTAAACAAACTTTACATGATATTATGGAACAAGTATATTAAAATTCTTTTAATAATACTTTATCTTTATTAGAAATATTTAAATTTATTTTAGAAACACTCTTTTTCACCTCAACCAGTACCACTTATGTCAATACTTCCTGAATTTCATGATCCATATCCGAATAATAACGTAATTTTATTCTTAGAAAAAGAAAAATATTTATTTTTGAATTTAGAATCAATTATCATATTCTAATCAACAGCAATTTATATCACCATTAAGTTTAATACCAACTGATAGATATAATGAATCTTCTTATAGTTTTCCTCAAGAACATAATCATTCGCCAGATTTTGCTTTTTCACAACATGAACATGTTTGTTTACATTCATCACTATCGTACCATAGAAGTCATAGTCATATGACTGATTATTTTTTTAATTAAAGAAAACATTTCATAACAACTTAGAAACGTACATACATAAATATATATATGAAGATTTATTTTTGTGTTTATCATTTAATTTAACCTTTTGTATTCATATTTCCTCATCTTGTTTTTCTTTTCTTTTGTTGTTATTTTCTATTCATCTACTGATGCTATATCTACTAATATTTTTCTTCTGTTGTGAAACTACTATCGATTGGATGAATGATGAGGAGAAAAAAAATCCTAATATAAAGCTGTTATTTTTGTTGACATCAACTGTTATCGGTCCTATTCATGTAAATAGAAGAGAATGGGCCAGACAGATTTTTTTTTCCATGATTATTATTTCTATGAGATATGAAAGAATGTCGGCATGCATTTGCTTATTTATGCCGATGATACACAAGCATATGCACATTGATAATTATCGAACAAACAACATAGTGTTGAAAAAAAGGTCATACTTTATCATAGTCGAAAAAGAATATTTTTTATATAGTGCACGCAGTCCAATCTGTGTTTATATTCTTTTAAAAAAAAATTTTAATTGATGACAAAGGTAGCAGCAGCAACAATTGAACATGAAAAGATTGAAAAAAGAAGTGCAAAGAAAAAAAAAAGAGAAAGAAGAACGTATTGATAACCTACATTTGAAAAAGTATTGAGAAAGAAAGATCGACAGCGAGAAATAACTATTCAATCATAATTATTTCGTTTATATTGTTGTTTTTTTCTCTCTTTGTTTTTATCTTATAAATCAATACGGAAATAAAATCTTGCACTGAATATTAAATTGACAAACAATAAGAAGAGGAAGGAAAGATCAGAAAAAAAACAGGTTGTTAAAAGAAAGGTTTTTCTAAAGGTAATCATATTTTTGAAATAAGTGAGTGATAAAGACATTTTGATTTTTTTGTTTATACATGAGAGAAAACGGACTTGGATATTAAACTGTAATCGATTTCATTTATTCTTGTTGAGCAACACCGGGTGGTGGAGCATAATTTGGTTTATTTCTATTATTGAAAAAAAAAGAATATCATTAATTAATTAATCGATCAAAAAGAAAATAAAATATTTACGTCATCTCAGATCCACCCTTGTTTCCCAAATGTTCACCAGTATCCATACCTAATGTACCAGCACCTTGTCCGAAACCGTAACCTTTTGGTCTAAAAATAAATTTTACTGTCTTTATTGTATTTGATTTTTTTTTGTTTTTTCAAAACTTACCCAAATTTACGTCCGTAACATTGTTTACAATAAATGTTGCCTTCATGTTCAGCCATGGTCATAGCTTCTAACATTTTCTTACAAAGACCTTTTATTAAAACATATGATATGATTAATTTCTATTTAGAATCCTATTAGAATTATTCAACATACCACATTTGAAGCACATCTTATGCCATTTTTTTCCGGCTGCTGGAACTTCTTCAGCGGCATATACGCTTTGATTGCATTTTGGGCCTTTTAAGAAAAAAAAGTTAAGAATTTATAAAAGGAAGATATTTCTCTTTTTAAATAAATTTACATTTGGAGGACTCTGGTGGTTTGAATGGCATGATTCAATTACAAATTACGGATTAGAAATTAACAAGAATAATGAAATCTGAAATAACTTATGTTATATAAGATAGATAATGATTAGAATTTTAGTCACACTCATCTTGAGTAATATATAAAATTAAAAAATAATAAAACACGTGAAAAAAAAACACATAAATATAGATTGCAATAAAAGTCTATAAAATGATGATTATTAATTTAATTTACTCGTGTTGACCAATACCGGGTGGTGGTGCGTAGCTTGGTTTATTTCTATCACGAAGAAATTTTATAGTAAAAAATTCGACGTAAAAAAAATATCAATCATTCTTACGTCATTTCTGAACCGGATTTATTTCCAAGATGTTCGCCGGTATCCATTCCAAGAGTACCTGCTCCACCGCCAAATCCAACACCTTTTGGACCCTTTGATTCAAAGATTTATTTCGTAGAAAAATATTCATACCAATAAAATTTACTTACAAATTTACGAGCATAACATTGCTTACAAAACAAATTGCCTTCATGTTCAGCTAGGGTAGTTGATTCAAGCATCTTTTTGCACAAACCTATGTTTATTTCCAAGAAAAAAAAAACAAAATGAATTAGATCATTTCATGAATAATCATAAGAATAAAAAGAAAAATAATATGTTAAGGAAAGAAAAGGTATAGCATAAGATCGATTCCTTACCACATTTAAAACATGTTTTGTGCCATTTTTTACCCGCTGCGGCTACTTCTTCAGCGTGATAAACAGGCTGATTACATTTTGGACAACGAACGATTTGAATTGAAAACGGCATCTGAAAGGGATGATTAGCATATTGGAATCGAGCAGGAACATGCGTTTAAATAGAGTTTTGTGAAAATAGAATAGATTAGAAAGGAAAAACTTAGGTGAATAGTTATTATGTGATGAAGGTGATTTTATTGTTCTCTCGTATAAAACATATAGGTATATACCGCATTTGAAACACATTTTGTGATATTTTTTGCCAGCTGCTGGAACTTCTTCGGCTGCATAAACGTTTTGATTACACTTTGGGCATTTGACTGCGTCGGGAGGTTTGAATGGCATGATTCGATTATTAAGTCTATCTATCAAAAATACAAAAACTCTCTACTTACAATAACTTTTACTCAATGAATGCTATTGTCTAGTTGTATTCATTTAAAACAAAAGAATACGAGGATAGACTACCTATTTGCTCAAACTTTTCCTTCTATATAAAGGATATAAAAACAACACAGTTCTTTTCTTGGTCTCTCTTTTTTTTTTCTTCTTGCTATCTATTGGGAACTATTCTATATCCAAAAAAAAAACAATCGATATCGTACATAACATCTATCAAAGATCTTTTCGTGGAAGATGATTGTTGTCAGCATCACCCTTTAGAGGAGAAGAGAGATGTTGTGTAAATATGCATCGTATTGAATATAGGGAGTGTGTGTGTGTATTTGTAATAATCCGAGAAAAATAGAACAGAACGAATGGTATCATCACTGTTACTCTAGACAATTTCTCTCACAGCAATATGTATCACAGATAGCTAGAAAAGAAAAAAAATAGCAGATACCGAAAGCTTCTGAGATATATTGGTATTTTTCTCTGTCATATCGCTATGTACATGCGTAGGCATAGACAATATAAAGGAAGAAAAATAATAGCAAGATGAAATCCTAACCCAAATGTTCCTCCCAAATTTGGCATACTTAGTTGATCGAGAAAACGACCCTTTGCCATCAGTATAACGTCTTTCTTTTCTTTTTTATTCTATGCTTTACTAACTTACTGACGGAATGTTCTTTATGTTCTATGGTTAATCTTGTGTATATTTCCTTCTTCATTTTATCAGACAACTATATTCTCCTTCGACGTTTCTTTTTTTTCTTGCTTACTCCTTTCTCACCAATGACATTCCTGTTATCAATCACGTCTCAAACAAAGAAAAGAACCATATCAAGCAAATATTAATGGCAATAAAGACTATTTCTCTGTTTTTGTTTCTAACTGTAACATACTAGCAAAGAAAAAACAAAAGAAAAACAACAAAACTAAAACAGATACATATTTATTCTTGATGTTTAAGTCATGGAACAACACTCCTCTATCCAATCACAGTCTGATCTATGCTATACTTACGATAACAGATTCAAGGTTTCAAATGATTTTTCTTTGTATATAAGTGTTAATTGTAGAAAAAATCTATAGGAAAAGAAAAACACAATATACACACACCCCCATCTAAATTTAGAGTTGTTCTATGGCATTAAATAACCGAGATAGACCAACTGTTACTAGATACATTTTTGTTATGATCGAACATGAAAACCATTTGCGTCTTTTGGGTTTATAGATTTCATGTTGAATATGCATATAGCATGGAGAATAGACTTTTATTTAATATAATGAAAATTAACATCAAGTAAAATATACAAACAAAAAAGAAAAGAAAAGAAGAACAATCAATGTGAAAGAAAATTTCGATGATCGGATGAAAGTTGTTCATGATTTTGACACCGAGTACTACTTGATGATGATATATCACTATTGAGATGACAAAAATATCTAAAAATAAATAATATAAACAAGTCCATAAGAATGTCAACTTATCATTTATGACCTAGCTTGAGTCATAACGAATAATTGCTATGGAATATTTCATCTACTAATAGTCAAGAACATGTTTCATTCTGTTGTTCAAATATAAAGTAATTTAATAAACTTTTTCTTCTATTCAAACAAAAATAACATTTTAAGGTCAATGATAACAGAATCACACACTTTTTGACATTTCTCGTCAACAAAAACAAAGTCAAAGCTCGTCACACTTGTATGCTTAAATTCTTTCTTGCAAGAAAAGTCCTTATACCAATTCATTATTTTTGACTAGAGATTATGTGCATCATGTGAATTCTAATGAGATATATATAACGACTATGGCAATAGTTTTGCATGTAACTCATCTCAGAGACATAATAAAACGTTGATCTTTTTTCTTCCAAAAGATACATCATTAAATGTCCTACTCGGATCACAAGACAAAATCTTTATAGCTATTTTGGAAATTACCAAGGACTACTAGAATTGAACATGTATATCATTGTGTTATAAGACTTCCTACGAGATTAGTATTGATTTTTCCTCAAGGCATTTTCATCATCGTCATTTAAAGACAACTTCTTCCTGTATTATTTTATTCAACTTAATTCTTCACCATTTTTTTCAACATTCGAGAAAGTTCAAACTAGCAATTTGTGCATCAAGTTCACTGTGACATTATTTTTTCACCTGTTTTTGAAATGAGGATGAGTATTAACTTTCATGCTTTGAAAGTTATACTAGGTCTCCAATTGCTTTCAAAAATAATAGATAACATGAATGAACAATAATTATCAAAATCAAAATTCAACATTATTCAGTTTTCTCTTATGTTTCTTTTGTAGGATATACCATAATGATACAATTGTTCCATGTTATTAGTTTATTAAAATTTCTGAAATAGCTATAAAGATTTAGCCTTGTGATCAAAATAGAACGTTTCCAAACGGAGTTACATACCAAACAAGAAATGTTGCAAATCTTTTGCCATGCGTATTATACCCTTAAAAAAAGTTCGGATTCTTAACTTACTGGTACGGAACTACCGAATTTTTACGGTATTTTTTAAGTCAATGCAATGATCCAGAGATGGCATCCGTCTAAACTTCATACTAATACTGGGTTGACAAGTTGTCGTACTATAGCAGCTTTAACTAGTGATATATGACATAGTCAAGTGTCAACAAAGTGTCCTTACAGATTCGCTATAAGCCTCGAAGAGCAACAAAATTAATAAGATACATCAGTAATCAATATTAGTTCTATCTTTCTCGTGGTCTTCTCAGGAGCATTATTTTCAAATTTCGACTTGAAACTTTGTCTAGAGATAGGTCTTAATGAGAATAGTTTATTTTGAAAGCGTATCTTTACAATAGGTTATATATACTGACAGATTCAATGTTCCTATTTGGTTCCCAGGCAAAGTTTCAATTAAAGATTCGAAAATCAATTTTCTCTAATATTCCAGAGAGAGACTCTGGAAATAACTTAAGAAATATTATAAACATACAATATGTATGCAGCAATCAGCTAAGACTTCGAACATATTTCAAGGTCTTCATACTATTTCTTTAGAATTATTATAATTGTAAATAATATTTACCTATTTATATCAGCAGATTTTATAGGTGAACTTGTACATAAATTTTTATTCAGATCAATTGATTGACATATTTGACTTTGATCATCTGTTGATAATCCATCTATAAATATTGGAATATGTTTCTAAAGATCAAAAACAAAAACAAATGAGTTATTTAGTGATAGAAAACAAATCATTTGAATAAATTTATACGATTTCTTTCTTTATTGAAGATGCAATCATTTGATTTCTCGCTCGAAGTTCCTTTATTTAAGTAAAAACAAAAAAAAATGTTATTAATTTATGTCTTTTCTTTGTTATTTTTTTACTTCAATTTCATTCAGTTGTGCATTCATTCGTTGTTTTGAAATCATTAATGCTTGTTCAAGACATTCAATTTTTTTATATAAATTATAAATAATTGTATTTTTATCTGTTATTTCCATTTGTAATTTATTCATTTCACGTTTAGCATGAAGAATATTTTCATTATATTGATATATTTGTATAGATAAGTCATTAACATTCTAAGACAAATATAAAAAAATGAAATCTTTATGAAAAATAATACTAACTAATTACATTAGTTTTATTTTCTTTTTTTAATTGATTGATTTCATTTGTTAATTGTTGAATTTTTTCTTCTAAAATTTTCTTATGACAATTTGAATGACTAGAAAATAAGTTTAGTTATATATATCTAATTGTTTTCAGATATTTTCTTTTAGTAGAAAAATACTTAATTAATTTATTAGCTTGATCAATATTTATGTCAAGTTCATTACGAATAAACTTTTCATAATTAATATTATCAATTTCTCTAATATAAAAGAAGTTTTTATTGAAAAAAAAAAAACGATAAAAATTCAAAACTATATACTTGATTTCAGATGTTGGACTATCTAGTATGTTTTCTTCAATTAAACGTACTTTAAGGATTTCTTTTTCTGTTTGTAAACGTTGTAATTCTAATCGAAGTAAATTACATTGTAGTTCACTATTATTTAATGATGAACGAAGTTTATCGATTTCATCAGACTAAATTAAAAAGAATTAATAATAAATAGAGAAGTATCGATTCAGAAATCGCCCCGTATTTTTTTGACCATGTCTGGTTCTCAACAAAGATGTAACAAATGAGTCTGAAATTTTGACTACAGATAGACTGTCTAAAATAAGCAGATAAATGTTTGAAGGAAAAGATTTTAAAGAGTTTTACGGAGAAACTCTAGTTTTGCTTGGGGCTACATTCTGGTGCATTACGATATCCATTAAATTTTTTTGAAGATACTTGAAGTTGTATCTCATTGATTAGGATAAGATTTTTCGGAAGTCTCATTCTTTTTTCTTTAAAGAGAAATACACTGAAATTTGACGTAGCTTCTGGAACAACTTTCGAACTTTCGTAATTGGACTCGGGTCGAAACAATTCGACATCCGGCAGATACTTTCACAGTCACAGTACGTTTTTCAAATTTGTATTTGATATGAAAAAGAATACTATTTAATTTCTTCGATAAATAATAACAAAAATAAAAATGAATTAAGTGATATAGAATTCATTTAATGTCTTTCCGCCACAGAATCTGCTCAATTGTACTAACTATACGTTTTCTTGTTGCTGATGACGCTAAAATAGAACGCATCGCTGGTGCCCAACGTCATAATCATGTATACATACATGAATGTTTTTTCATTACCATACAAAATACGTATTCACCTTTGCGATAACTAATTTATTCATTCCATGTATTCAGTTACTTCGTCATGTTTCATTGTCATTCCAGACGATTCCAAGTACAAGATCATACCTAGGACCTGACCTAGTTGCAGGACATTAGTTCGAAGCTAATATCAGGCACTTACATATAAGAACCCTATAATATTTGGCACGAAGGTCACAAATGAAAGCGGCTGCTTCTATCTGTGGAGAAGACTTTAAGTATCCATAGTAAAAATTTCATCCTGATCGCCTAAATACTCTTCGAGAACTAGATGTAGATAAAAAAGACGAGGATACTGATAAATATTTACAATAATATTTTTTCGATAAGTATCAAGTTCATTTTTATGTTGTTCACGTTCAGTATTGAGTTCATTGACTAATCGACGAATTTCTATTTCCTATAAAATATCAGACAAATGTTTACGAATTGTTATTTATTTATAAGTTAGAAATGAAAACATAATCATAGTATTTTTGTTTTTACTTGCTGATCAGAACGATGTTTATAAAAGTCAATGTCATTTTCAAGAGTTTTAATTTTTGATTCAAAAACTGTTGAATCAATACCTTGATCACATAGTGGTTGTTGCTATAAAACAAATTTCTTGATAGAAAATAAATGAATACAAAAATAAACGATTACGTTACTGCGTTGTAAAGAATTAATTAATTTTTCTAATTGAGCATTTTTTTCACGTAAAATAATTTCTTCATGATTATGAGTTTGACAATTAGTTTCTTTTAGTTGATCGTTTTCAGTATATAAACGTTGATTATCGATTTCAAGCATCTGTTAAAGTAATAAAACACTCTTAAATATATGTATATATACTGGTTTTTGTTTGAAATGTCAGAAATTTGGAACATTTCGTAACAACATCTAAAAACAGATTCTAAATGTAACGTCAATATTTTAAGTTCATATTTTACACATAAGTAGAGTATTACAAGATTGGCACTATCTTCAAAAAGTTTGAGATTTGTCTGAGATATATCTCGATCAAATCTTAATAAATAAGAACGTTCTTTGGAGATAGTGTTAGTCTTGTAGCAATTTACTTATGTGTAAATAGATGAAATCAAAATCTAGAGATTACGTGCAGGACTTTCTATATATATTCTTAGGAAACGTTCCAAATCTTTTCTACTTTCCAGCTAAAGCTATTGTTGAATTTTACCTTATTAAGCTCTCGAAGATGAACGATTTCATTTAATGCTTCATTCATTGATATATTATTTTGATTATTTTTATGCATGACTTTTAATCGTTCATATTCTTGTTGAACATTGGACAGCTAGATAATAAAAATAAAATACAATATTTATACTTCTATAAAAGAAATAATTACTTGTCCTGTCAATTTTTGTACTTCATTATCATATTTCATCATTATATTTTGAGTGGTTTGTTCAGCTTTATTTAACATCATATGTAATTGATTGACCTTACATTTGAGAAGAAAATATATGTAAAAAAAACAAATTATTGACATGTGTTGTTTTTCTTTACTTCGAAGTCTTTCTTTTCAAGTGCTGCACGATTTCGTGAACTTTCACATTCAGACAATAATAAATCACGTTGTAAATCATCGAAACGTTTATGATGATTAAGTAATTTCATCTGGCGTCGATTGATAAATACATCAATTTTTTTAAGTATATTATTAAGATTTGTTTCATTTGATGAATGATGACGATTTCTTTGAAAAGAATATTTATGTTTGGATATTTAAAAAAAAAAGTAATCATCAAAAATAGAGTAGAGTTATTTACTTTTTACATGTATCTTTTAATTGTGAAAGAAGTTCATCTAATTCATTATCAGACATTTTATATCAAGATGATGTTGCTTTCTTTCTTTTTTTTAAATAGTTTATCTAAGATCATCTAATCGATAAACATGTAGCTAATCAGAACAGTAAAAAATGTCTAGTATAGAAAAGTCGAAATACGATTATCAATCAGTGATTAATTTCAGCGCCATCTAGGAAAGAATATCAGAAAAATAGAGAAAACTTCTATTCTTTTTATTATAGTGACAAAAATTAATAAAAGGATTGATTTTTTTCCTAATGTCGAAGATTTTCAATTAGTATTTTAATTCTCTGCAAGTATCATAACTGAAGAAAATGTATTAGATGACAATCAAATTACAATGAAATCCGTCTATCCTATAGTAAATTTTAAGATATAATCAATAGTGATGCAGTGGAAGAGATTTTCAAGATTTATCAACGTCTCAACATGTATCATATTGAACATCATGAAATGTTTTATAATAAAACAGAAGTTTACAAAAATTTTGTTTTTGCGTGTACGACGAAAACAGATATTTGTTGCATATTATCCGAATGTTTGTTGTACTTATTTTGTTTTTATTAAAAAAACTATTCGTATGGTTTTGATACTTTTTTACTTGTCATTAACATCATTGTGTTCTTTGAAAAACATCGATTTTTAAAAACTAAATATACAAGTGTCAATCATGTACAATAAAAATTTAAATAAAATCTAGAAAACCTCACAGGACGGTTTTCGTTATCCTCCTCTGCATTTTGCAGAACATGATTAATCAAACGTCCTGTTTTTTTCTGAAAGTAAAACAGAACTTTAAAAAGGCTTTTCCTTACAGAACAAATGATTCTTCTGCGTCCGACCTTCAGGAGCTGTTTTCATTACTAATTTACAATATAATAATGTTAACAAACCTTATCATCTGTTTTCTAGCAGAAACGAAATGAACAATAAAAAAGTGTGTGGTTGTGGTTGTCTATTCTTCATCTACGCTCACACCCATCTATTAACAATGCGCACAACTGTTATTAGTCGATAATGAAACCACGTATCAAGGTAAGTCTATGCTAGCCAATGCATTGCAAAACAGTATAACATTACAAGGACTTGATCTTTATACAACCATCTTTCTGATCGAGGTGTTCTATTGCTCGTACAAATCATCGTCACAAATAAGGTGACTCTAGAAAAGCTTCGTATTGGTTCAAATGCGATCACAGACAAATGAACTCAACTTCTTGCTCAGACACTTGCAAGAAATACAAAATTGGTTGAACTGCATCTCCATAAGAATGAAATAGGTTATCTTAGCGTACAGTTTATGACTAATACGTTGAATGCTGAAAAAATAAGTTTCGAAGTATTCGTCTTGTATTCGAATTCATTCATGAGTAATATCAGTGACATATTTCTCAATGATACTCTAAAACACAGTTGATTGTTGAGAGAAATCAATCTTAACGATTGTAACCTTTCTAATATTGGTAAAGTGGAAGTTCGAAAAACATTGACGTAGAAAAAAAATGGATTACGCCTATGAATGAAGTATTACTTGACAGATTGACATTCGCAGTTTGCTTAGCTAACAATAAATCAACTACATTCATGATGTCTGATGAGAAAATGCATAACGTAGTTGAAAACATGCTCTTCTTCTATTTGAAAAAAATCGATATTGAAATGAATAAACATGTATTCACAAACTCTCCCTCTATTTCCTCAACTTGTTTTCGCTGCAAGTAAACTCATCTATTTTTCACATCCTATAATGGAGATTACAAGGTAAGATGTTGCAAAATGAATGGAAGAACGACAAGGAGACAAAGTAAAGAAAATGCAGCCTCTCTTTGGCAACTTCAGTGAATAATGTAGATGACAAAAAGTAAAAGAGCCAGATTGGTTTTTTCGCTATACTTATAGAATTTTCATGTCCTACTGATCTGCATGACGATTATGATGAAGCATTTTTGATTATTTCTAGTATTTTCGCCGAGACATTCTAGGCGCTTTTTCATACTTTTGATAGACTTCACTGTCTTATCAAACTTTGAATATTGTGCTTGTGCATTTACCAATCATCTGAACAGCCCAAATACTAGGTTTTGCGGGATCAGGTGTCCATTTCTGCTCGATGATTTGATGGAAAATAGCATTGATCGACGCAGAATTTAAATTAACACCGAACAAAGCCAATGAGAAATCGGGCATAGGTCGTAGTGCGAATCCGAACAAAAATGATCGAATCTTAGCCTTGGCCCTTTGAACACAGACAAGATAATATCAATGAAGTGCTACTTGGGCTTTACTTCATTCACACAATGTCTGTCATTTTTCATGAACACGATGGAAATTGGCACGGTAATCTTTCATTCCGCTGTGTTCTTCCTTTGAATAAAAGGAGTTTCAACTCGATTGGTTGTGCTCTTGCTGAGAGCAAGAAGTGATCAAAAAAAAATGAAGGAGAGTAGTATATCTTTCTAAGCGAGATTAACTATTTCAGGGAAGAGTCAAGGAAGTGTTACTTGTAAGTAGCTGTTCTGATTTTTCAGTTGGAATATAGGAGATTTCGATCAATTAAATCTCTTTTACAATAACCTCGACTGATAAAATGCACATAAGTATTTATACAATTGATTCGCAAACAAACTGTTTGCTGGCTTATTAAGAATTGGCATGTCTGTCGCTGACTATAGCAAAACAAACGAAGGTGAAAAATATTAATGACGAATTGTGATTCATATCAGATTATTCTCACCAATCCCAATTTGTGTAACAGAATGAAACTCTTTTGTTTCAGAAAAGACCGAATGAATTTGCCGATGAACATTACTGGGTGTCAGTTATCGTGAAAATGGAAGATACGACATGAAAGTTTTCATTTCTAGTAGAAAACTGAAGTAGGTCAATGTTAATATCGAAAGGTTATTTTTAAAACTAATAGAAAATCTGAGTGATGAGAAAAAGAACATCTACTAATGGTACCGTTCGTTATTTCACACCAGCAACCAACAAAAAGAACAGGATAAAGCAATATATCATTTCATCAATTTAATATATTATATAAACAGTTTTGGAACGACATTGTTTCATATTTGAATAAGAAGAAATACTCAGTTAAACTTCTTTGTGAACTTAAAGTAATGTACAAAACTATTATTTTCATAGTTGTTGGCAAGTATTCAAAGCTAATTGTCTATTTTAAATGAAACAAAGCCTTCTCTATCTTTGTTTCTGTTATTTAGTTTTATCTTTGATTCAAAAGCAACAGGCAGTATTTCTTGACTTTTCGTCACAAAGTAAGTCACTTGTGTTCTAAAACTTCTGGTGTCATGATCCATCGGCAATGGACATCTTTCATTTCTCTATATCAATTTTTCAGAGTTCTGGTTAGACGAACAATCTATGTTGGCTGCTTCCAAACAGTATGAATTGTTGAAGAAGTCGATTAAAGCACTGACTGAATTGAATCTCACGTTGATTGTACTGGCGAGCAAATCTACACATCATTTTGATCTAGCGCTGGTTCATACGTTGTCTATTCAAACCGAAATAAATATACTGCCACTATTCGAGAGCTGGGCGTAGAAGCTCGATACCAAGAAAACTTGAGCTCTTCACCAATGATGGAGAATGTTGTGTGTCCGCCATATTCATTTGTCTGATTCGGTTGTGTCAATGGAACTTATCATGTTTGTGACACCATGTTTGCAAGTTGTTCTGAATCGAGTGCATATTTGCTTTCAAATTTGAGTCACTTATTTGGGATACCAATGAATGGTAGTTTTCAGTGAAATATTCTGCAAAATTATGTTGGAAGGAAAAATGTATTTATTTCTTCTTCTGATACGTATTTTTCTCCTTTTTAAAAAGAAATAAATACGATTGGTCAAAATTGAAAAAATTAGAGAAAATGTAATTGTGCAAGGGTGTGGATATGAGGATGCCGGTCTGCGTGTGCACGTACGTGTGATTGTGGGTATGTGATGTGGAGTGTGAATTTCAGCGTTCGTATCAGGGATCAAAAAATCTATACCCTGTCGTAGAGCTACACCTATACACACTCACAGCAACAGCTATAGTCAAGACCACATCTACACCCTCATCATACACTTTCATATATTCTTATATTAACTATTGTCTTTATTGTTATTCTTATATCAATTATATTTTGTTAGAGACAAAGGCGACCAGAAGATAATATTGATTCAAAATTGAATAGTAGAAATCGACCATTTTGTTGTTCAATTCGTTCCTCAACAGCCTCATCATCATTTATAACATATGGTGAAGCACCAGCATAAACATCAGTTGATGTGTAAAAGTAACAAACATTATCAACAAGATATATTTTTCAACCAAACCAACAACAACTATAACAGATCCTTATGAAGATCTTAATAAGCCAATAATATTACAAAGATAATATCATAAACAAAACTCATCTGATAATCATTTACTTTATATAGAACATCAACTGATATTTTCTTCACCCAATACTGCTTATAATCGCATGACTGATTTTTCACCTGCTTTTATAAGTTGCTATTTTAGTATACCGGTACAAAATTTTTATCCTTCTCAATCACTATTTGTTTCTCAACATATTTATGAAACCATTCAAGATAGACATATTCTATATCAACATTTATCAGCTACACTTTGTCGTCAACAAGAACACATGACAATGAAAATTTAAGTATTTATTCGAATCCTGAAACACCCTTCTGATAAGAACGAGAAGAATAGATAAGTCGTGAGGTTTTTTCTCTTGCCGTAAGTTTTATTGTCTTTATTTGTGTGGTGAAATGACAAAATAACGAATTGTTTTCTATCAAAGCAAAAAAAAACTATATTTTATTTTTATCAGTTCGTTCTCAACTTAAATATTATTATTAACAATAAATGTGTGGATGTGTCTCTCTTGAAATCCCTAACAATCGTAAACCCCTTCTCTTCTCAAAACAGAAGGCCATCCTGTATTAGAAGGCCATCCTGAATAGGAGGTGGGAAAAATGTAGTGTCACGATTTTTCATAATAGAAGGCCGTAGCTTTTTATTCTGAAGGAAGATTTTATTCACATCCATATCCACGAACTTTTTCCTCATTTCAGAATGATGATTAGATGCTGAGAGCGGATGGTTTATTGAGTCCTGAGTAATGCATTGAAAAGAAGAAGAATTTACTATGACAACCGAGCAAGTGCAAAGCAATCGATCGGATACTGTACCTTGTGTAGTCAGTCACCTTCCAGTTAATGGGATTCTAGACATGAAAGCTTTTGCCTCACAGTACACTAAAAACAGGTGACTTAAAGTAATTCTTAGTAATCTATTGGATTCGATGTTTATTTCTAAGAACAATGTTGAATTGAATGATTGTATTACAATACTACCATGATCATAACTATGTTCACTAAACATACAATGAATATTTATCCATGTTCAGAAACTATTTATTTTGTTGCATGTCTTCATTTCGGTCAACATAAAGTTATATTTAGATACCTTTTTAACCTGCCTCCATTTATCTTATCTCTAAGTATTTTGATATGAAACATCTCACAGGAGTGTTGCATATTTTTTATTTTTCATCTACTCTGTGAGTTCAGATGCTTACAGCTTCTAGTAATTTTCATCTTTTTCTCTGGATTTTGTGCTCGGTCACAGGTATGAACAATACAAATTAAGCAACGAAATTATTGATCACATAGAACACGAAGAATTTCATTTTAGTTCATGGAGCTCTTCGATTTGCTAACTATTATCAAGATCATATGGTTCTTCAGCGTGCTCCACAACGAGCCATCGTATGGGGATATACAGATACATTCAACACACCTATTACTTTGACAATGAACAACAAAGTTTATTACACGATGAACTCAATATCATCTGTTGATTTAGTAGATGCATCAATATGGTCAGTTACACTTGATGCTCAAACAGACGAAGGCCCTTTTCAAATTCAAGTCACAAAACCGTTAGCAAATGGATCACTTGAAACCATAACATTGAATGATGTTTTGTTCGGTGACGTTTGGATTTGTTCCGGTCAATCAAATATGCAATTTGCTGTTAATAGAATGTTTAATGCTTCAATTGAAATAGAAAATGCTAGTAAATATCCAAAAGTAAGATTATTTACTGTAGCAACTGCACAAGCTAATACACCGCAAGAAGAACTGTTAGCTATTGGATTAAAATGGTCCCTGGCATCGACGAGTAGTGTTGCAAGTGGATATACATCAGCAGTATGTTGGCTTTATGGTCGAATGATACATGAAGGCCTTGGTAAACGACCCATCGGTCTCTTACATACATCATGGGGTGGAACTAACATTGAATATTGGTCACCACCTGAAGCTCTTAAAGATTGTGGTATCACACAGTAAGTTTTCATTTTGGAGTCCATGTTCAAAATGAGTTCGGAATATCATCTAGAACTAAAAGCATAACACCTACAAAGAATCAGAAATCGCATAATGAAATTAATATTGTACTTAACAATACAGTTCTATATAATGCAATGATTCATCCATTTACAAGAATGGTTATCAAAGGAGCTATTTGGTATCAAGGTAAATCATTAATACTAATGATAAAATACACTCATTTTATTTTAAGGTGAAAACAATGCTAATTTCAATCGCGATAAATATTCTTGTACATTTTCTAAAATGATTGAATATTGGCGAATCATATGGCATATGCGTACAAATTCTACCACTGATCCAGTATTTCCTTTTGGCTTTGTTCAAGTAGGGGACTCTTTAGTTAGCAGTTTCATTTCTTTAATTCTTTCTACTTTAGTTATCAACAAATGAACGAACTGGTAAAGTTGTCGGAGGATTTCCTTGGATTCGTTGGCATCAAACATTTGATGTTGGTTACGTACCTAATCATGTTGTACCAAATGTATTTATGGCAGTCGCATTAGATTTGCGTGATGATGAAGGAGGGTAAACATATATGTTTTTTTAAACAATTGAAAACTTTTTGTCTAATCTTATCAAAATAGAATTCATCCTCGAAATAAACTGGATGTTGGATATCGATTATCTCGATCAGGTCTTGCTGTAGCATATGGTTACACAAATATAACGTATCAAGGACCTATTATTGCCAATATTTCTGTAGCTTTGAATAGTAGTCAAGTAAATGTTACCTATACAAATACTGTGTCATCAAGTATTGAACTACGAAATCCAAATGGATTTGAAGTAAGTTTTACTATTTCTTTCTTTTTATATTTAATCAATTTTATTGATGGGGTTTATTCAGGTATGTTGTGCAAGTAAACAAATTTGCAATACGACTGATTCTGTATGGACAGCTGCTCCAGCTAACCCTATAGAAGAAGCATCTTTGACTATTTCTATTGCTGTGTCAAACTCATGTATTTCGAAGCCAATCAATGGACTTCGTTATTTATGGAGAGAAACTCCATGTTTATTTAAACAAGCGGCTGTCTATAACTCAGACGATTCTGATCTGCCCGCTCCACCTTACATTCATTTCTTTTAAAATAAGATCCATGATTTTTTTCTATTGTATTCATGGTTCCTTTCAAGTGAAATCCTCTCGTTTCATTAACACAAACCCACCAAGTAAATGAAATGAACAATGCCACAATAATTGACTTTAAAATAACTATCAGAGAATCAGTCATATTGTGAAAAACGAATTCATATTAAATTATTATTCAATGATTAAATAGATTATTATTTGCAACACATTGGTGTTTTTTTTTTATAATATTAAACTTTCTTTTATGTATTTTGTAATCCTGAAGTTTTTAATAACAAGATTCACAATATACAAGTACTTGAAAAAGTATTCGGACTTTACCATGTCTTTCCATATTTCTTGATTTTGAAGCAGAAATAAGAGATAAAATATTTCTTATTTCACCAGCAGTTAGTTCTTTCTTCGAACTAGGTTCTCTATGAACATGTCCTATTTTTCAATATATTAGATGTTTGCTTTTCTGGCATTAGAATTATATTATTTGCACATCGCTAGAAGAAACAAAGTGAGCTCTATTTGTTGGCATAACATTTCAATGAAGAAAGAAAAATTTTATCTCTTTTTTCTACTTCGTAAACCAAGATATACGAAAAAAACATGAGGATGTCGGGATACTTTTTGGAGTACCTAGGTATTTGAAAAAGTATTGTGAACAAAATTTGAAAATTTATTATCTAATACAGAATCTCTATTTGTACATTGATATGTTAGACTTCAATTATATTCTATCAAAAAACAAGATATATAATAATAACAACTAAGTTAAATATACCAAAAGTATCATAACTCAACATAATTTATTTTCAATCGGGCATGATGAATAGATAGAATAAACTCGAGAATTATATATATCATCGGTAAAATAAAACATAACATAGGAAAGATTGAACAATATTCCAGTTTATTACTAGTCATATGTAATATGATTAGAAAGAATTTAATGTACAACAATTGATCTAATTTAAATGTAAGATAAGTAAATATAGATTTAAGCACATTGTTATAAAGCAAATACTACAACTGTTAATCAATAAATGTGTATGCATTTGAATGCATTTATATTAATACAATTGTAGTCTTTCTTTTACGAATTCATTTAAGAGAACGATTGATTATTGTCAGAGTACATGGATTTATAAGGAAAAAGACAAAGAATACAAAAAAATTTGTAAACCTTATTGATACGTTTCATAATATCATATATGATTGTGAAAGCGTTGATAGATGTTGAGAAATCTAATGGATCAAATTATTTGTGATTCTAATATTTTTATTGGAAATATTCTTAAGACTTTTATTTTTTTCTTTTGAATAAACATAAGAACTTGATTAACCTAATGAATCTCTCGTGCTGAAATTCTTCTTCTAAATGGAAAATTCTTTTCACATATAAAAATGTTGTTAAATCAATATTTTTCTTTTATTAATTTACATTCTTCATAAGACTAAATCTAGAAAGTCAATGAAAAGAAATCTCTACAATAGATAGTATGAGATAAACATTTCTATATAAAAAAAATACGTTGAAAAAGTGTTTCATTTACAAGTTGAATAAAATCAATAATTTATTTCCATGTTTTGATCATGAAAATAAAAACCAAAGTTAACAGGTGTCTTACTATTGTTAAATTCTAAGTATAGACAAATTCTTTATTATGACACTTATTACGAAATTTTTAATATTCAAAACATTAAAAATAAAAGTTCATACATGAAATCAAAATCGAACATGTTCATATATGATGTAGAAATGCTATTTGATAGATGTCGTAAGCTATTGTGCATAAGGTTACATCTAGAAGCAAACAAGCCATCTTGAAGAAATTCTAATATACCTTAATGATGGCTGATGAAATGATTCATAGAATCAAAATATAAAAATACTTTCAAAGGTGCCGTAATGGTTGTTATTTGATTATGATTGTGCCATTTCTCTATTTGAATCACCAGCTGTTGTATTTATTTGTTCCATTCGTTGTTTTTTTCTTAGACATTTGATTTCTTTTTTCTCCTTCAAGATCTTTGAAAATAAATACGTTTAATGGCAGCTGATGAATGTAATATTCGAGTTGTTGCTCGTTTTCGTCCATTAAACGATTCTGAAGAACGAGCTGGTAGTAAAAGTGTTGTTAAATTTCCAACTGATCAAGAAGAAACTGTTCTTATTAGTGTATGTTATTTACTTATTTTAATCCTATTTGTAATTATTTGACTTTATAGGGTAAAGTTTATATATTCGATAAAGTATTTCGTCCTGATGCTACACAAGAAAAAGTTTATAATGAAGCAGCAAAAGAAATTGTTAAAGATGTTCTTAGCGGTTATAATGGAACTATATTTGCTTATGGACAAACATCAAGTGGGAAAACTCATACAATGGAGGTAAACAAATTTTATTTGTTTGGTTTTTTTTTCTCTTTGATGAAAGCAACAAAAAAAAAACAAACTTCAATTCATTTTGATTCTTAAATTAGGGTATCATGGGCAGTGATGGTCAACAAGGTATTGTTCCTCGAATAGTACAAGATATATTTAATCATATATATACATTGGATGCTAATCTTCAATTTCAAATCAAAGTTTCTTATTTTGAAATATATCTTGATAAAATTCGTGATCTTCTTGATGTATCAAAAACAAATTTAGCTGTACATGAAGATCGAAATCGTGTACCATATGTTAAAGTAAGATTTTGTAAAAAAAATAAAAATTTAATAACAATGTATTTTTTCTATCTGATGAATTCTATATCAAGATTACATAGATGAACATCTAACTGTACTTTGAATGAAGTTTTCTAATCGAAATTACATTGTCTCTCCAAAGATTGTAGATATTCTTTTCTGTTTGTATTCGGTAACTAATGTATCATACACATTTCTCATTTAACTAGAGCTTGTTAGATTCAAAATTTCCGAATCCAGATTAATCCAACGGATACTACTCTAGTGGCTACTAAATTATTATCTAGATCTGATCTAGGTATTTAACATAATAGAAAAATAAATACGTTGTTGTTAAAATTTTCTTCATCACTTTATAAAAAAATAAATAAATATTTAATTAAAAATAAAATAATTTTAGGGTGTTACAGAAAGATTTGTATCGTCACCTGATGAAGTATTTGAAATAATGGAAGAAGGAAAAATAAATCGACATATATCTGTAACAAATATGAATGAACATAGTTCACGTTCACATTCAGTTTTTCTTATTCATGTTAAACAAGAAAATGTTGAAAGTGAAAAGAAATTAACTGGAAAACTTTATCTTGTTGATTTAGCTGGAAGTGAAAAAGTAAATTAATTTTTTTTGTTTTAAAAAAAAAGAAAAAATTTGCACTTTAAAATTTCTTTTTTAAAGGTTTCAAAAACTGGCGCTGAAGGTCAAGTACTTGATGAAGCTAAAAATATTAATAAATCTTTATCAGCACTTGGAAATGTTATATCAGCATTAGCTGATGGAACAGTTTGTGTTGAAATTTTGTTTATTTTCTTTTTGTTTTTATCAATTTTACTTTAGAAATCTCATGTACCTTATCGTGATTCTAAATTAACACGTATTTTACAAGAATCTCTTGGAGGAAATGCTCGTACAACAATAATTATATGTTGTTCACCAGCTAGTTATAATGAATCGGAAACAAAATCAACACTTGAATTTGGCAAAAGGTTTTAAAAAGAAATTATTTATAATAGATGTTATTATTGTTGTTTTTTTTTCGTTTCAATTTAGAGCGAAATGTATTAAGAATTCAGTAACTGTTAATGAAGAATTAACTGCCGAAGAATGGAAACGTCGTTGGGAAAAAGAACGTGAAAAAGTTGCAAGATTAAAAGGTCAATTAAGTCGTGCCGAAATGGAACTTGAACGATGGCGACAAGGTTAATTAATTATTTTATTTTTCTATATATAAACAAAAAAAATAAAATTTTCTTCAGGTGAAACAGTAACTAAAGATGAACAAATTAATTTACATGAAGCTGATGAAACACTACCAGTAACACAATCTATGACGTCTCTATCAACTGTTACTACATCAGTACTTAGTCCAACATCATCTGTTGTTAATGCAGCTAGTGTTGGTAATCTTGATCTTCGTTCTGCTAATGTTGATGAATGGGAAAAAGAACGAAGTACACTTTATCAACAATTAGATGAAAAAGTAATTGAAAAAAAAAATCGTTTTTTTCTTTAATGAAATAAATTTTTTGTTTCGAATTTTATTAAGGATGATGAAATCAATAATTTAGCACAAACACTTGAAAGACTTAAATCTCAAACAACTGAACAAGATGAATTATTTAATCAAGCTCGAAAAGATAATGAAAATCTTCAAGCTGAATTAAATCGTCTTCAACAAGAAAGTGAATCATCAAAAGAAGAAGTTAAAGAAGTTTTACAAGCTCTTGAAGAACTTGCTGTTAATTATGATCAAAAAACCCAAGAAGTTGAATCAAAAAGTAAAGAAAATGAAACACTTACACAAGATCTTGATATAAAATTGGTTTGTTGATAATTCTTCCTTTGTTTTTTCTTTATTAAATGTATACGTGTATGGTTTTATTCTGAATATTTAGACTTCATTAAATGGTATTCGTGAAGAATTAGAAAGTCTGCGTGAAGCATCACAAACCCAACGTAAACGTTTTCTTGATATGATAATTGTACTTTTACGTGATGTTGGTGATATTGGTAGTATTATGGGTGGACAAATGAATGAACAAAAAGTTTGTATTTTTGGTTTTTTGAAAAAAGTCTTTTATTGGAATTTTTTCGTTTATTATAGAAACCTACGCTTGAAAATCTTGATCAAGCTGAAGAAGAATTTACTTTAGCACGTCTTTATTTAAGTAAATTAAAAGCAGAAGCACGAAGTCTTAGTGGAGTAAGTTTATTTTTTATGATTTAAATTTTGTTTTTAATAAAAATATAAAAAAAAAACAATATTTTGATTATTGTAGCGTTTAAGTGAACTTGAATTAGAAAAAGTTGAT